TGATATTAATAATATATAACAAATGTCACCTGATATCTTTTCCTGTAAATATCTACCGCTTTTGCATGAGAAAGGATCAAATGGTGAGCCACAATATATGGTTCTGTGCCTGGATTTCCATTGGAGCAAGGAGTTGGAGCCTCAAGTTTACATCTATGAGGAGGGATAGCATTTACAGGCTCGGCTGAAGCTGGACCATGACCAGGTGCAAAAGTACCAGTTGCATATCCTTGAATAGCGAAGGATGACGGTTCATTCAAAGTGATCCAATACTTCACCCGATCACCGAATTCCCAAAAGCAAAGCTCCGCAAACTCACAATAATCCTTCCTATTAAATATTCAGAAAAGATTATAAATATATACATATATGGTTCATGATGTTCTTGAGGAAAAAATATTTTGGGATCATATTGAATTTTTGTACAAGAGCTTGAGTTGATAATACAAATTTCTAAAGGGCTTCTAGTTTCCGTAGGAATTAGATATCTTAACTTTCTTTGAATTTGCATTGTTTTCTTATAAACATGCTATTCAAATATCAAAAGAAGTTCCTTGTTAGCAAGATTCAGTTACTTACACAATTTGAGGGCTCAAGAAGCCACCGTACTCTTCTTCCAAATATTGGGGAACATCCCAGTGGAAGATAGTTACACAGGGTTCAATGCCTACACCAAAGTAAATTTAAGAATCACATAGGTAACATTTTTATCTTTTTAAATAGAAACAAACAACATTGTTTGAAGAAAACAAAGAAAAAATTGTATTGAACTCTAATTAACCTTCGGCCAAGAGCAAGTCTATAAGATCATTATAGTACTTGATTCCTTCTTTGTTTATCCCAGCAGATAATTTTCCCCCTAAAATACCAATAAAGAAAAAAATAATATCAAATAAAACTTCACCCAATTTTTTTTGTTTTTGCCAAATGATGCACAAATTGATTATATACACGTATATGCCTACCTGGCAATACTCTGGTCCATGCAATTGAAAATCTGTAAGAGTCTAAACCCACTTTCTTTAACAAAGCCACATCTTCCTACAATATTGCGGAAAATAAATAAATATTGTTCTACCAAGAAAAAAAATTTCTGAGTTATCTTTAAAACTGTGCTATAACAATGAAATTAGTGAATTACC